GGTAGGAGGAGGAGGAGGGGCAGGAGGATAAGGAGGGAAGGAAGAGGGGACAGGATGTAGGAGGGGAAGGGGGGAGGGAGGCACAGCAAGACAGGCAGACAGAAACAACAGAGGGAAAGAAAAGCGCAAGGACCTGCCAGTGGCACCCTCCAACCACCAGCTGCCTAGAGGGAAACATCATATCAGGTAATTGAAAAGGTCATTGACTGACATGGAACTGTAATAATAATAATTCATTCCAGAAGTCTCAGCACCCATTTCTCAGCTGTTGAGGATACTTTGCATTTCCCATTGTATTGCATTTTTGTCATTACCCAGTCCATCTACTGACTTATCACTAATCTGAAATAATGTTCGTATTGTGTATACTACTAGAAGGCAGAAAAAAAATTGAACAGGATATAAGAGAGAAACCTCATGAGGTTAGTTAGAAAAATTCCTCTATCCAAAAACATACAGCATATGCATACTCTAACTTTATAATCTTTTTAAAAAAATTGTTGGGGTCCCAAGAGTAAAGAACTTACACGCTGGCTTCTGAGATAAGTCGGGCGGCCAACATGATGCGACCACATAGGAAGATGATGATGAGGAGGAAGATGATGAAGATGGTCGCTCCAGTGCAGCCTGTGTGTACAAAAACATGTGACGTTCATCAGTATTGAAGTGGCATGCTTTCATCTTTTTTTTTCTATCTGTAGGCTACAATGTTCTATCTTTTTTGCCTTTCTTTCTTCTCTGTGTCTCTGTCTGTCTGTCTGTCTGTCTGTCTGTCTGTCTGTCTGTCTGTCTGTCTGTCTGTCTGCCTGTCTGTCTGTCTGTCTGTCTGTCTGTGCCTCTGTCTCTCTCTCTTTTCCCCCCTTCTTTCTGTCTTACCCTCCCCTCCCCTCTTCCTTCTATTTTTCAAATCCAATCTTATTCCTTGTTGCTCCTTGTCCTCCACCTCCTCATTTGTATAGCCAAAGTTCCTGCTCAGCAGCTCTATGCGCTTTACAATCTATATATTATTTCCTTATCAGACCCGATAGCATTCTGAAACAATTTCAACTCCCTGGGAAGCATACAGTGCAAGCTACCATTTTAAAACACTATCATACTAACAACATTTTTTGCTGTCTACGGCCAGGTACACATTCCCACTTGGGTTAAGTGGGGGAAATCTGTGTAAAGTGCCTTTCCAAAGGGCACAACGTCTGGTCTGAGGCTTCACCCCCTGAACCTGCAACCTCACAATCACGATTCCGGTAGCCTAATCATTAGACCCTCCACGTCTTTCAGTTGGAACATGGCCAAAGCAGCTCAGATTGGTCTTGAAAATCAGGATCTATTCGACTTGCCGCCATAAATCACGAGAGTTTTGTTGATGGGAGAGTACAACATGTCCGGTGACAAATCTCAAAGCTCACCAAAAGCCAGCCAGGTCGTCTTCTGCGACAGGTAGTAGTCAAAGTCAAACTTGAACTCATACGGCAGACCGTACTCCTCTGTTACATTTGCATTCTTCAGCTCATAGTATCTGTAGTAGCTGTAGCCAGTTCCTGGATGGGAATGGAGACAATACAAAAGTTCTTATATACTGTGGAATTGAACATGACTATATCAAAAGGTAAAAAGAAGAGTCATGAAAGTTCATAGCAACACTATTTGAACACAAGGGGTGGGGAGACGGGCAAACCTACAAAACGGAATATTTAAAGAGTAAATCTGAGATAAATTATGTACATTTGGAAAAATAAAAATTTTAAACGGAATTTTTCCGGCAAACCTACAAAACGGAATATTTAAAGAGTAAATCTGAGATAAAAAACGTACATTTGGAAAAATAAAATTTTTTAACAGAATTTTTCAAAGGGCTAAATAATCTATAACAATTAAAAAGGGTTACATTTATTTTCAAAAATTAAGTTTTAAACAGAAACCAAGAAGAGCAATTCTGAGAGTTTGGATGAATAGAAGAGACCCCTTTGGGACAACACCCCATCCCCTTCTTACTTCCCAAACAGCCCTTGGGATCTTCCTGGAACTCCAAACTCGATGACAGATCCCCACAAACAATACAGCACATAAGAAACCATCATTATCCTCACCAAATCCGAAGAGGCCGATGAAGAGCACCACAGTGACCCACACCATGACAATGGTCAGCCACCGGAGCAGGACGATCCACAGCATGGACAGCACCATTGTAATGACCAGGCAGCTGGAGGGAGAGGTTTACTGTTAGTTTTTTGTGCGTTTTATGGCACTTGCAACACAAATAGGTTATATAACTGCCAATGATTAAAGGCATTAAAAAGGAGTAAAAAGAGAGTTAACATACAAAAAAAAAGACCATAGATGTTTGATAGGGAAAGAGGGAGCTAACCACATAGGAGTGCCTGTCAACTATCCACCTCGAGGGAGGGAGGGAGGGAGAGAGAGAAAGAGAGAGAGAGAGAGAGAGAGAGAGAGAGAGAGAGAGAGAGAGAGAGAGA